GCTGCGAGCGGAGCGCCCCATGACTCACAGAGTTATAGTTATCCACCAAGTGGAGGCCCCAGTCTCAGAAAGTGCATCATAAATTATGTTGACTTCGCCGCTCCGCTCCGCTCGGCCCAACTTTTATTTTTCTTCTAAGCATTTTCATTTGCCAAAGTAGTCACACGGTCAGCTGGGCGGAGGGCAGGCGGAGGGATCTGCAGATCTTGGGAGCGGACCACATTTGTCGCCGGCCCAAGCGAAATCGAAATTGAAATTGAATTTGAAATCCTGGTTCAGCCCCAGTCCAAGCCGCAGCCCCAGCCAAGCGATCAAAACGGATCGGCAGCCGCACTTTGGTCACGAATGTCGGTCAAACGTGTTTGGTTTGCTATTTTACAACTTTAAATATGCCAACAATGGCCAAAAGCCACTAAGGCAAAGTGTCCGCAGCCCCACCCATCCCCGCTATCCCCATGGCAGAGCAAAAAACCACATCCTACCTGGGCCACATGCATGCCTAATTTGTGTGCATATTTCTCGGGGGATTATCACTGTCACACTCTCGCTAAAAAAAATAAATGGAATCAGCCCCGATCTTTGGCTGTGTCGCTGGCTCCAATTACGATCCGATGCGGCTGTAGCTTTTGGCACTTGGGAAGTCTAATTTTAGGGCCTAAGTTGTACAGTGTCAGGATTTCCAAGGAGTTGTTAGTAGATTTTAAAATGAGAAAACTGTAAAACACTTTATTATATTTAAATATGCAAGTTTATAAAACAGCTAATTCAAAGAGATTGTTTCACTCTAGGTTAAAGTTAATAATAGGTTAAAGTTGATTTGTATTATAAAAGGGTTTCAGTAATTTATCTGACATTTATTTTGAAAGATTTTGAAAGATTAAACCCTTAGAAATTATGCATCAAAAGTAAGGTTAATATGGTTTTCAGGTAAGAAAAGGTTATTGCATGAATTTCTTTTAAAAATAAAAACAATTTTAAAGCAAAGATTTTGTTTGTTGCAGTAAAGTCAAGTAACTTATTACAACTTTTTTCTTCCTATTATTAAATTACAAGAGGCACAGCCAAAACGTCGTTTGGCGGCAATTTCCCTTTCACCAATTTAAGCGCTTCCTCTCATTAATATTTTGCAATGTTTTGTCGGCAGTTGCTTATTAAAATCAAGTCATATTTTCGCAGTCTGTTGGCCGTTACACTTGTAAGCAATTATCTTAAGTTTTCATGGGAAAAGAGAAAATGTTGCAAATCTTGGGAGGGAAAAATTTTATAAGCCAATATATTCGCTTTACAAAAGGGTATTCCCTTGAGAAATTAGGTTACTTCTAAAATGGATGGATGTCTTTAGATGACCCAATTTTTATTAGGAATCCCTATCTCGATTTCATCTCTGGCACTTCCTCTTGGTTCCATTACCCATACGCCGTGTTGCGCCATCGGCAGACATCTGTGGAAACGATTTTCGGAGGAGATCCGCGGGCGGCGGCAAATCAGTAAGCTATTTAGCCCACAAACAAATTTCTCACATAATTCACAAAACGCCGTAATACGGAAGCCGTTTCTAGTTGCAAATTTCACTCGACTGATAAGTCGCCAGGCAAATTTGCAGCACTCAAATTTGAATTTCATGTCCCTTTTATCGGTGCGACTATCTAACGCTTAGCGCGGTTCAGTTCAGTTCACTTCAGTTTGGGTTGGATTTTCGTTTCGTTTCGGTTTGTTTTCTACTTTTTTTTCGGGGGTTTTTGGTTTTGGTTTGGCATGTCTGTTGGCCCGGCTAGAAGTGGCCATTGTTGGCAAATTTGCCTAGCCATAATAACGGTTCGTGCTGGGGGGCTTTCGCCTTATTGGGCGTTCGCGGTTCAACGGATTGATGTGCCTCTGTGTGAACAGAGTTTTTCCACCCACCCTCCCCTCGGTATTTTTTGTTGCAAAGTTATAAAATATAGAAAATTATGCGCATCGGCTACTGTGGCTGCCATCAAAAGCGGCGCCGAAAGTCGGCTCGAGTCGGATCGGTTTTTGGCTGCTGCTGCCTGGCACTTAACACCTTTTTGACACACAGCCAGCGACGTCAAATGCAAATGAAGATAAATCGCTGCCTCTGATCTTTTTAGCACCTTTTTGCATACATTCCCCCCAGCTCCAGTCGAAGTCAAAGCCAAAGCCTCCAAGACCAAGAGCTCCGGTGACAGCGCCACGAACATGCAACATTTTGTCGCCAGTTGTACAACTCCTGGTGGCTGCCGAATGCCGAATGCCGAATTGCGAATGCCAAATGTTGCCGGTGTTGCTCGCTGTTGCTCGGTGTTGGCCACTGCCTACGACTTTTGGCGATTATGATGGCAATGGCAAGCATTGGAAACCCAGCCCAGCCCAGGCCGCGATTCAGCGGCTGTAATACCCTCTAAGGGGATTACAAGATTTTAACACCTACCATAAAGCTATCAATCTTCAAAGATGTCCTCTGGTATCATAGAAAAGTTTGTAAAACTAAGGAGAGGAGGATATGGTTTAATTGATTTCACTTTAAGGCAACGTGTAGTTTGTTTTTTAATGGTGTACTTTTAAATCTGTCTTTATTAAAGCTAAGATAAAACCAATCCTTTTTTTTATTCCACAAGATATTATAAGCATTAGAGTTTCATAAAATATATTATAGCAATTTAAGTATCTCAAAAACAATGATGCAGCTATAAAAATAATCTGTTGATGTCTCTGACTTGTTGATAAAAAACCATAAACCAATTGTCGAAAAGGAAAAAATAGTTACTGAGAAACACAAATATACTTTAATACCATATAATTGAATTATGAACTATACATAAGAAAATTAATTAAAATATTCGGCTATTTGTACAACAGTGTTTTATGTTGGCTGCCAATCGTAATTTTGGGTATTCATAAAAACTGCGCTTTATGATTGCCATCCCAATTATTGAAGTTACATAATTTCAAGTAAACATCTAGCGTATCTAATCTTCGATTTGTCAGCATAACCCTATGTTTTGGGGGTTGTCAATAAGGTCAAGGGGGGAGCTGTAGATAGTGGTGTTGCTTTGAGAAACTCAGCTTTTCGCTGCAACACATATACACACATGGGCACAGTTGCCAATCAGAGACTTATCAGCCTGCTCCACTGTTGTGTTTTTGTGGCTTTATTTCGGCCGCCCGAGTGGGGCTGTTGTCATTGTTGTTTTGCTTTGGCAGCGGTGCAGCGCAGACTTCAGACGGATGAGGAAGTTTTTTGGCCTGGGCCGCATTTGTGGCATGCCACCAACTACCAACTATCGACTGGCGACTGGCGACTATCGGCAGCTTGTCGCGTTTTTCTCTTATTTAAATTACGAAATGTTTTGTCAACAATTTGTCCACTGATTTATTGGCTTTTGTGGCGCTGCAAGCTACTTGAAACGTGGCAACAGTGGTAACAGTGGGCACAATAGCCCACAATGGCCGAATGTGGAGTGCGGCTAATCGGAGTTGCCAGTTATCAGCTGGCTGAGTGACAGGTGCATAAATTGCATTTAAAATCGAAAGTTGGGCAGACGCCCAGAATGAAAGTGAGCGACGTGCATCCATTAAAATGTGTGCCACTCATGTGGCACCATCACCACCACCACCACCACCACCAGTAAAATCGCGGTGGTGCATTGACTCCTTACTCTGTACTGTGCACTCTGCACCACGGCAGTCGCATTCGCAGCTGTCCATCAGAGAACTTTCGATTTCGATTGCGTAGTGCGTCAACTCGAAGACTTTCCATTGTGGCGTTTGTTGAACCGATCCCAGATGCACTGGGAAAACGTATTCGAAATTGCTCAGGAGGTCCTCGAATATCTCACTTCTTTGGTACTTGATTAAAGTATAGAAAAATTCTACCACTAGTTTTTTGCTCAACAATGATCAAGATATAATAATACTACGATTCCCCCACAATTTATAGCCTTTTTTTCATCAAAGGCATAATATTTTTTTATTTTTTTTGTTTCTAAATCTTTTTAAAACTTAATACATTTTTCAATGAGCTCAACGTTCAAAGACATTTAGTTTTTTGATTAATGTAAGACACTGGATAAGAAGACAAAGATAAGAATATAACAAATTTTGGAAGATTGACTGTTTTAAAACAAACGAAATAAATGCATTTGCCTAAAGATACAAGTAAATCGAACTCGATTTTACAAAATAACGCTATTAGTTTAAGCCTCTGTGGTTTTTTGTCTGTAGTAGCAAAGAGCACAGACGTAAGGAGGGTCAGGAACTGGGACTGGGACTCGGACAACAACTGCCACAGATCGCACAGAAACACATATTTCGTAGCTTTTTCGTTCGGGTTTGAAGTCTCTGTGAGTGACACACAATTGCGTTTTTTGCGCATAGTTCCGTATTTGGTCAAAGATAATGATGTGAAATGCAGCAACAACGACATATCCCCAAAACAACGGCAACGAAGGCGAAACGACAGCGACAACGAGGCAATCACCCACTCAAAAATCGTTGAGGAAAAATTGCCATGCCGTCGCGAATCGTCCATGTAAATGAGTGAAAATGTTTCAACTTAATTCTGTTTATGTGCGTTCACGTGCGATGGAGTTTTCAGATGGCAGGGCCAGAGAAACTTCATTCAGGCCTTAACTTTGCACTGGAAAATAAGGCAAGGAAAAATGATTTAATCTTTTTTCAGGCCTTTTTTAAATCTGTAAAAAATATTTTAAAAAGTTATTCTAAAATCTAAATAGTTTGGTCATTGGGTTGGCAAAACAACAAGCTTAAGGAAACAAACAAATAAGGTTTATTGAACAAGTTTTACACCAAAATGAAGCATTTTTAGAGTATAAATAGCTATAGAATTTCATTGTTTTTAATACAAGCTAAATACTTACAAATGCATTTCAGTTTCTTCTGTTATTATCAAACTAAGACATTTCAGTGGTCTAGGCTGGCAATCAAATCCTGCGCATGCTCCCGGATTGCCATGACAGAGGTTGTGTTTCTCAATTGTCAGTAGAGAAAAAACAAATAAACAAACAACTTTTTTTGAAAGAAGCACCAAAGAAAACCTTTTTGGAAAGAGGTGCTGACCATGTCGAACGCGGAGATGGAGATCCCGGGGAAGCTGGACTTGGATGTGGACACCGACACTGCTCAGCCTGGGGAGCAGGAAGCGTCGGATGCATTGGCCGCAGGACCGCTATCGTCAAAGCGCCATAAGCCATACTTCAAGAAGTTCAAGGAGCCGGATTCCGATGAGGAAGTCGGCGATCCTCGAGGCCTTTTTAATGTCCAGGAGTCCTGGCGCACGCTGATGTCGCTGACCAGTTGCCAGAAGGTCATGGTTTCGTAAGTTTAGAAACTTAATTAAACTAATTTTTAGCCCTAGAGCTCCTTTTCAACCAGGGAGAAGGCTCAGAAGATCCTGAAGATCCAGGTGGGCATCAATGTGACGCAGGAGTTCCCCTGGAAGCAGGTGCAGTTCAAGGACCTGCGAGACGTGCTCTTCGACGAACTGGAGAATTCGGCCGAGCTGATGAAGAAGTTCAAGCACTTCAATCCGGATCACTATGTTCTCATGGGCTTCTGTCCCATACTGACCGAGCAGGACGATGATCCGCCCGAGGGCGACCCCTTCATCTTCTACTCGAGCATTAAGGAGTCCAAAATGGCCATGGGCATCATCCAGAACATGGAGCACTTTGAGCGATGGCGGATGCAACGGCGCCTACGCAAGAAACCGCGTCGATGGGTGAGTCATGGCACCGACGACGAGATGACCATCCTGGTGGAGCACTTCAAGGACGAGCCCATCGACGTCGAGATCCAGAGTGTCTATCCGATCCAGGTGCCGCGGCACATAGTCTTCGACTACCGGATGACCCGCGATGTCAGGGATGGCGTGATCGAGCTCCTGCCCAACGAGAACATCAAGTGGGACAATGTGACCAAGAAGCGGGTCACGGTTGCTGTCCAGTCAGCTCCTCCCAAGATCGATCGGGAGCAGCAAACCAACCCCACTTTTCCTTCGAATGCTTGGTCGCAGTATCTCTACGAGATCGATGATGAAGGTGGGTTCTGTTGGGGCTTCTGATTTTAAGACCTTTGTATTTTGAAACTCACTTACAGATCTCGAGCTGGACGAATCCGAAGTGGACGAGGAGGAGGAGAAGAGAAAGGCCCAAGCCAAGCCAGGAACTTATGTGGAGCCGGTTAAGCCACCGCCCGAGATGTCCAAGCAAATCGAAATGCTGCTTAATACTCTGGATTTCAATCAGATCGACAGTTATCGGTGGGTTTCGACTTTATTCTTACCTATTAGTATAACAATCTAGGGATAATTTGTATAGGTTCTTAAGAAAAACAAATAACAAAGTATAGATTTGACTTACAACTCTCCTTGTTTGTACCTCAGCGACGACTACTCTTTGATATCCACTCGACAAGTGGTGCAGTACACCAATCCGTACCTCCAGGAGTTCCTCTGCTTTGCGAACATCTCGAAGAGCAACAAGCGATTTGTGGCTGGCTACGACTGGTATCCGAAGTTGTCCGGCCTGTTTGCAGTGTCCTATGCGTTCAGTACTCCAGCCACAGTGAAGGAGGCCAGCGTTCGGGTGGATTATGTGCAACGAGCGGTTCTGGAGCCCAATCCCGTGCTGCTGTGGAGTTTCTCGGATAACTTGAACTACAAGCTGGAGTTCGAGGCACCGATCGAAACCACCGCACTGACCTTCTGCCCCTTCAATGGGGACGTCCTGCTGGGCGGCTGCAAAAATGGTCAGGTGGTGGTGTGGGACCTGCAGGGTCGCTGCGAGAAGCTGGACGAGGAGGAGTACTTAACGGCTGCCCAGGCCAAGTACCGGGTGATGATTGGCGAGTTCCTGAACTGGACCATTGACATAGAAGACAACGTCGTCATGCCGGCCACCATTTCGATGTTGGACTGCTCACCGAAGGGTGCCATTACAGCCTTCTACTGGCTGGGTCGCTCGATCTACCTGAGTCAATTCGGCAAGGTGTACAACGACACTGACAATCGCAACCACCACAAGTTCTTTGTGACCTGCGCCTTCGACGGCACCATCAGCTTCTGGGATTTGGACGGGAAGGGGGCGAAGGGTGGCAAGGAAAAGATGCGCAACCGCATGCTACCCAAGGAACTGACCCAGAGCGAGTCTGCGTACAAGTCGCTGGCCATCAAGCCCACCTACAATATTTACTTCCCGGAACCCCTGACGGGCATCATTGCGGACACCTCCTGTTTCTCGTGTCTGACGCCAGTGGCCAGGCTGATACACGCCAATCCCTCCAATTACCCCATCAAGATTATAGCCAAGGACCCCTCGACGGTGCGCCAGAGCATGATAATCTCCACCTTCTACGGCCACGTCAATCGGATTGACTGGCAGGGCACCTACACGGAGGGGCAGGCCACGGAGACGATCAACACTTCCATTCCATTTGCCAGGGTCCACGACGGACCCGTGGTGATGATGAAGAAGAACCCCTTCTACCCGCAGCTGTTCGCCTCCATCGGACGCACTATCCTGGCCATTTGGAAGGAGGACTACCCCTACTCGCCCATCTTTTGGCGCCAGAGAGCCTGCGACCTCACCGCCGTCGCCTGGAGCGAAACACGCCCGGCTGTTCTCTATCTAACCAGGATGGATGGGATCCTCGAGGCATGGGATATATTGGGTAAGTTTGACAAGTAGTTAGTAACGAAAAGAAAACAATTTAATTGAAGATATTATCTATGGGTAATACACTGCTCTCGTGTGATAAATTTCCAAAAATAATGCATTTGCTAAAAAAGTTCACTGGGACTTAACATTTTCTATAGAAACATTTTCCTAATGTTTTCATTCAATGTACATTATACTTTTAGCACACAAAAATAACTAACAATAGCCAATAAATAATTCTAGATGGGACGCAATTTCTTAAGAATTGGAGAATATTACATTAAAAATTCAGCTGAAATCTACAAATAAGATCGCTATTTTTAGGGCACCATACTAATGAATAATGTAATGTTTTAATTCCGTTTCCAAACAGCTCGAGATGACGATGCCTGCCTAACCGAGATACTTGGTGGCGGTGTTATAACTGGAATCACGGAGCACCGTCCTTCGCTGCCCTACAAAATCCTGGGAATTGGAGACTATAATAGTAGCATCCGTATGGTGAAGTTGCCGCACACGTTCGATGTGCCGCTGCCCAACGAACTGCAGCAGCTGATGAACTACGTCCTGAAGGAGGAGCGCCGCAAGGTGGGCATCCAGGCGTGGGAGCAAAAGTACTACGAGCTCAACAAGGACATCATCGAGGCGAAGCGGGAGGCAGAGGCGGAGACACGAAAGGAAATGGAAAAACTTGAGAAAGAGGAGCATCTGGCCACTAGAAAGAAGGGTCAAAAGGCCACCGAGGAGGGAGGAGAAGGAGAGGAGCACAGGTGGGTAAAAAAAAGCAAACAAATCCCTAACTAACACGTTCGACAAAGTGTCGGTAGGTAAATAATAATAAATGTGGTTATATGAAGTTTCTAAGCGTACTCAATATGTACAAGTAAATAAAACAGAAGCTTCTACTAACTTCTCACATTCTACTTGTAATAAATAAATTGTGGCATTAATATAATGTTATAATGTTAGAAACAAAAATTATATATATCTATAATGTTTTATTTCAAACATTACTAACCGCAACCGAAGTAAAACATTTTTACCAAAACGGAAACCGTTATTGAAATAGTTATATTGTTTTAACTCAAACTTATTATTCATTAACTTATTTGACTTTCCAGAAGCAAGAAGCCTTATGGCGGTCTCAACTATAATGAAAAAATGGCCGTGAAGTGGGACGAGCTGAATCTGAACCGAATGATGACCATACTGATGTCGCGCAAGCAAATGGATCCCGAGAAGTTGGCCAGGGAGACGGCATTGGAGAAGGAGCAGCTTGCCTACGAGGCGGCCAAGAAGAAGTCCCATTCGGATGTCCTGGCCAGAGTGGAGAACGATATCGCCGCCATCCGGGCGCGAATCCTGCCGGCAGAGGTCGCCGACTTGCAGCGCAGCGAGATGATCCAGGAACGGGTGAAACGCGAGGTGGAGAATGCCGACACCTACGAGCAGGTGTGCAAGGACTCCTTCGAGATCCTGGGCATGTTCAACGAGTTCAAGACCATCGACTACATTGAGTTTCTGGAGCGGGGTCGTCATAGGCGCCAGTTGTTGGACCAGTCCCTGGGCGGCAACACGGATCGACTGCTGTGGTACCAGGAGAGGGTACGGCTGGGGGAGCTGGGCGAGTGCCAGTTCAGCTATGAGTGCGGCGGCAGCTCTCAGGCGGAAGAGTCCAGTCAAGCCAACTTCACGGCTCCTATCTTCTTGTCGGGAAGCGATATTACTGGGGACCCGATAATAGAGGAGTTCGAGGACTAATCGTTTTGATTCCACCTTACAGTTGGTAAATGTCAGCAAATTAAATATTTATGCAATAACAAATTCTTTGATTTTAAAATGTAACCATTAAACTTAAGCTATAGTTATTATTTATTCAATTAGCACCAAACTAAGATAGGTTTGTAAATTTAAATAGGGGGATACTTATTGGATAAATTATTATTAAACTATTTTTGCTACCTATATTATCTTTAAAGTTAAATCTAATGAATAAATCATTTACGTTTACAAATAAAAAGTATTTGGATTATGTCGATCTTTAAAAATTTTTACGGTTTTATAGTTTTTTTCTCAACCTAAGTTGATTTCAATCATCATATTCTTGATCTCTTACGTTTAACATTTATTGATTAATTTTAAAATTATCAATTATAATGAATATATTTATTATCTATCTTAAAAAAAGGGGCTGAGGGTCTCTTTACACATTCTGATTTAACGCATGATTTAATAACATTTGAAACCAGTTATAATTTTCAAACAGCTCAAATGGCAGCTTTGATGGATGTAAAATCAATAAATCAGACAGTTCCTGGCACCTTTTGAACATAAATCTGATAAAAACTTTGATAAGAAATCGAAATGTAAAAAGACTTTTTTAAGGCAGAGAGAAAGTAAAATCTCAATAAAAACTATAATAGTGCATAAAAAGATATAATGGTATTTATGAGTTTAATTTGTTTCATTTTAATGTTTTTTTTATTTGATAAGGCGTAGTTTAGATGGCGTTTTCTCTCTATTTTTACTACACTATTGGCCGTTTAAAGCGACCCACCCACTATGCTAAACGGTTGACTGCCTCTGGCCGTTTGCCAAATAAAATTCGGCTCTCAATTAGAGGCCCATTGAACCTTGAAGCCCCGCTTCCGCTCGTCGGCCAGCTGGCGGGTTCAAGTTTATGACATTTCTAGGCGCACACAAATGAAGTCATCCCGCGGACGAGAGGCGTGCCCTGGGTTTAATGAACTTGCCCCCATCATCGTAATGGTGGAAGGCCCGTGATCTCCAAGCCGAAATGGGGGAATTCCCACGGCTGGTCACTCCACTCCAAGTACTCCAAGTTATCCCAGGTAAACGCAAATGCAAGCCGACAACGGCAGTCCATCATTTTCGCAAGCAGATAATGATATACATTTCGGAAGCAATGCATCTGAACTTTACCATAATTTCGAGTGCATTATTATTGGCCCGCTCTGGGCAGTTGGAGCCCATGTTGGAGTTGGATTTTGTTGCGTCATCTTCGTCGTCGTCGTCGTCGTGGACGTCGACCACCTGTTGTCCTTTAAGCGATAAGTATTAAGTGATTTCTGGACAGCCGCTCTCGAGAGGTTGCCATTTATTTATTAATACAAATTTCGTACGCTTGCGTGCGTCTGCGTCTGCAACTGTGGCAAGTGCATTTACATAACAATTGGCCTTTGAATTCAAATTGGCAGCGGGCTTTGGCCCGTCCGTCCATCGAATCGGGCTATCCCGGTGAGACTGCATTACAATCTGTTTACCGCCATTTAAAATAATTTACGATCTTATGCAAATCGCCGCTTTCGTTGCACTAGCCACCGTGACTCGGCATAATGCTCGTCGACCAAAAATTAAACGCACACATTGTTCACGCCCATTGTGCATACGAAAACAATAGATTAAGAGTGGAGGTCCGCTACAGGTGTCATTCTCGTATGCTAAACTTACACTTGTCGGACTAGTTGACAAGATCCTTAAAGGATTTAAAACGTTTATTTTATATTTAAAATTAGATTTTTCAGGTGAAAATAAATATTTTCTTATTCTTTGACCTACTTTTCAATGCTGTATGTTCTGTTACGTTTATTTTATTTATTTTAATTTTACTAATACAATAAAATTCAATAACAATCTAAGGAATGTATCTCATAATTTACAAACTAATTATTAATTTATTTAATTAGCTTTTTATTGCACATAAATATGCAAGTAAATTTCAAAATATTATAAATGAATGTATGTAAATATATTATATATATAAATATATAAAAACAACGAACAGTAAATAAACTCAGATATGGAATATATATGAATATATTTCCATTAATATTCACAGCTGAATTAAACAATTTTTTAAGTACATCTTTTAAGTACACAAACGTGTAGTGCAAACACAGCGCTTAATATTTAATGGGTTGTTGTTATGTACTTGGCTGGCCATTTAGATTTGGGGGGACGGCTGATTTGGCAAAGCTGCTTGATCGCTGGACTCGCTTTTGACATACTGATAAAATATGTGTGAGAAATCATTTGAAACAACCTCGTCTTATTCCACTTTGGGGGCTTTGCAGAACTCCTGGAGGCGTTGGAGCAACTGTTTGCAAGATTCCCGCTCGTCAGAACTATTCGATTTGGCCAACTCCTCTACCAACTCCAGGATGCTACCCATAAAACTGTCGAACTCGATTTCGTACTCGCTGATACCCTGTTCGAATTCCTGGGATGATCTGCCCCCGGGCGGGGATTCCACGAATCCGCAAAAGTTGAGGCACACTTGGCCCAGGGTAAAAAGAGCTCTCACAAAAGTGCTGGCAGAGGAGAGTAGCCCCAGGCGCAGAGATTCATCCACAGAGATCTCTAACTTATTCAACACCTCATCGATACTAGTGGCCTTGTCCACCGATGAAATCAAAGATTGCCATCGCGGCTCTGCGATGTCCAAGGTGATGTGGTGTTCCATGTTCAGCATACTCATTAGCATTCGCTGGCGAAGATCCTTAGACCGATGGGTTAGTTTGAGACCAGTGCCTTCGGAGGGAGTTTGCCAAAGGACGGTCAGATGGCGTTTGACATAGTGCAGGAAGAGCAGGACACGTTGCAGGATCTGTAGCTGCTCAAGAAGCTCCGGGTAGAGGACAAAGCTCAGTGGCCACTTGGCCTCGTACCGAAGGGCCAAAGATTCGTATCCACATAGGTTCAGCGTTTCTGGTGAATCCTCCTCACTGGAGGTCTCCTTATCCCCCTCATTTTTTTCAATATTTCTTTTTTCCAATTGAGTGGCCACATCGCAATCCTTGAGCTGACAGCGCAGCATGTCCTTTAAGGAATCATTGGATTGCTGCAGAGTCTCCAGTAAAAGGGTTTGAAGATTTTCGGGGATCAGCCTATCAACGTTGCACTTCAGCTGCTCCTGGCATTTGTCCAGCAGTGTCTCCGCGAATCCCTCCTGCTGCAGCAGGAAAATGGATCTCAAATTGCGAATGTGCTGGGGCAGATTGTGTTTCTTCACCAATATCTCCAGTAGTTTTCCCGCTGGCAGCTCATAGCTGCTCTTAATGATGTCCACATGTCCTGTTTCACCAGGCGTGTAGCTCAGTGGCTGCTGCAGCAACTTCATGGTGACATTGCACTGTCGCAGTATATTCAGGTACTTTCCGGCATGAAACACCTCCTTAGCCTGGGGAAGCAAAAAAACGGGCAATCGATCGGGATGAAGGCGGTACCGCTGCGCCCAGTAGGCGTGGCAGCATTTCTCCGGCGCCAATAAAGTGCTGCTCATGGCATTCGGACGCTCCGTGTCCTCCACGAAGAATTCATGCTGAGTGTCGTAAAGGACACCTTTTTGCGTCCACAACTGGACAATCTTCATATAAACGCGCGTCACAGAAGCCAGAATTTTGAATACCCTTTCCTTGAGATCCGGTTCATTGGCCTTTTGCTCCCGGGAAAACTGTTCCAACAAGGTGAGTAACTGGGCGCCTGTTAGCTTTCTCCGCGAAGTGCAGGCCATGCAGGAGAAAACCTTTAAAGTAGACAGCCAAGGACGCACCTGTCGCACCAGATCCTTGAGATTCAACCTCTTTTCCTGCAGATCCGTCTCCAACTTGGACTGCAAGTCATAGTACTCCTGCATTTGGTCACCAAAAGCGGTGGCCAAGGCCAGTCGGGTTCTGCCACATTTTGGCGTCATATTGGTCTCTTCTATAAAACTCTGTAGACTTATGTAGTAGCCAATCAAAGGCAGCATGTCATTGGCCAAGGCCCTCAAAGCCCCATTGAAGACATCATCCAAGCGGAAGCGAACCTTGGCTACATCCACTGCACTCATCTCGGCAATCCTATCCACCTGGATATCGGGCTTGATATGCGAGGAGGGTACCCCGGAAAAGGCGTAGATCAGTTCCCTCATCAGCAGTTGCTCCTGACGTGGCAGCGACATCTTGGCCACATCCTCATTGGGCAGATAGTATCCGCCCACGCTCTCGAAGGTCCATGATTCCGGCCGTGGCAAGCCGTTCAACGAATTCGAGCCACCACTGATTCCACTTCCAGAGGCACGGTTCCTGCCATCCAATGAGCTACCCTGCTCATGGATGTTCCGCATCTGGCGTTCCAGTTCATCCTTGCTCAGATGGAACCGCACCTTCTCTGCTATTTCATTGTTCACCTTGGAAGGATCCATCGCGATGTGAGAATAGGAAAAATATATAAAGAACGGAGCTGGAAGCTTGAAACTATTTTAGTATTGGAAACAACAATGAATGTCAACTGAATGTCAAATTCACAAAATGATGAGATCTTTTTTAAAGCCAACTAGACTCTTTCATATAAAATTTTAATGTAACTTTTATAGTTAAAAAAAAATGTATATACATATATTTATTTTCAATTTATACCCATTACAATTGTACAAAAATACATCGAATAAAATAGAAATATAATAGAAATATTAGCATGATAACACAAATCACAAGGCTTATGTTACAGACATTAATTGCTGACATGGTGGCAAAAGAAATAAGCATAAGTTGCCTAAGAAAATGTTCTATAACTATTAAACAAATTCCTGCTGGCTTCAATATCAGTCAGTCGTGCCAGGCAGTTTTGTTCGCCGATACTAAATCGCTGAGTGAGCATCAAAATTCATTTGGCTCAATCGTCTGGTTCTGGGATTTAAGTACCCATTGCCCATTGTACCCAGTGGCGACATCTGCGATTCTGCTGCCGGCGGAGCTTCGAGCCTCAGGTGCATTTTAAGATTGAGCTTTAAAGACTTCAAGTTAAGTTCAGCTGTCCATTAAAGAGAAAAGGAGAATCAACTGATGAACGTGCTGAGAATTTTCCATCAATTTCTCTGCGATGGGAACTTCGAACTTTCTGTGTGCCCGAATCAAAAATTTAAAAATACTGAGAAAAATTTGGTATGTGTCAAACTTTATTTTATTCATTGTCAAGAAAAAATGTGATCAAAGCATCATATAGGGGACCATTTAAATAAAGAGTTTTCCTAACTCAGCTGGTGATCTGGGAAAGCCGAAATTATGTAATTATCTTAACAACTAGATATTGCAGATTGTTCCTAATGTGTCATATGATTTCAACCGAACAACCATAATGTGATATAAAAAAGTAAATATTTAATATTACATCGATACAAGTCTTATTTTCCTCTGCACTCAAGATACTCGTAAATATCGTATGGGCAACGAGATAACCATGAGAACACTTTATGTATGGGCTTTTGTCGCGTGAGTGCCACTTGTGGTGTTTTTGTTGCTACTGTTGTTGCTGCCATTGCTGTCGTTGTTGTTGCAGTAGCTGTTGTCTTTGCCCCCTTTTTGTTGCTGGGTTAGTTTTCTCGTTGTTCTCATTCTAAACAATGCAAATGCAGCGTCAGCGCCTCTGCCTTCAGCGACGTCGCCGTCGACGGCGACATTAGCATAAATAAATAAATAACCGTACTAGCAACGAGCGGGTAAGGAAACTAACAAAATAACAAAATAACAACACGAGCGGCAGCATTAATCTGCGGTCCAAAAGCTTTCCGATGGCCGATTCCATGGGCTTTTGTCTTCCCCGCATTTTATAGCAGACACCCAAAACACTTGTTCGCCTTCGTCGCCTAGTCGCACTTGCACTTCGGCGAGGTTCGGTGCAAGGGAATTGCCTAGAAACGCCCACACATGAACAAGCCAAGTACAGTGGTAACAGAATCTGAGGAAATGGGCATCAATAGTAGTGACACCCTGAAAAGTTATGTGTACTTACCAACGAAATAGAAAGTTTACAACACGCCATTAACATTTTATTATTATTAATATTTAACTATTGTAAATATAAACAAACATGTAACCAAATTATATATTGATTGTTTTACTGAGAAGGTCGTTGTCGACAGCATTGATTTGATGGAAATAAACAAAAATACGACATTTAAAAAATAAAAAATATGTAAGGCTTAATTGTTTTTACAAGTGGATTTGAACTTGGACAACCTAAGAGTATTTGATCTCTGATACTGAGTATTGATTTAAGTTGCTAGTTGACTGCCCGTTAGCATCGAGTTTTTTCCACTTTTCCACCCGATCGCACCCACTGTGCCTAGGCCAGGCATTACAACAGCCCCACCTTCGCATTTACCGTAAAATGGGCTTCCCTGCGTGCTCGACTGTTGCTTTTGGAGTCGCTTCTGCCGGCAATCAAATTGAGTGCAAAGCTCGGTTCAAAAGCAAAGTGTTTGGGCAGTAAGAGAGGTGTGATGTGTGTGTGTGATGTGCTGCGAATGCAAAAACGGTTTCGATTTTTTTTTAAATTTTTTCCGTTTTCTGTTTTTGTTTTGTTTGGCTGGAGCGCCCAACTTATTGCATTATTTATGTGCGAGCAGTAGGTTTTTCTGGGTTCCACAGTAAGCCACACGCACGCGGGCCGAACCAGAAAAAAATGTATAAACAAAACGCGAAAAGCCAGAAGAAAAAGTGTGAGTATCACCGGTGACAATCGCAAGTGCAGGGCTCTCTCTGTCTCATGTCTCAAGTCTCTGACGGGTATCTCGCTCTCCTGCTCACACTCACCCAAAGTTTGCCCAGGCGGAGAAGCGAACTCGGCGGCATTCTCAGTCAAACAACAAACGCAACTGAAGTAACAACGAGTCCGTACCGCGTACCGCCCCCAAAACAAAAGTGAAATTCTATTAGTCCCCCAGGGTCTTTGGTAAATCCACCCAGGAATATCGCGCTTTCTGTTTTAGTTAGAAATCACCTGAATTCAAACGAAAATCACCCTCAAAAAGTTATGATATTTGATTCCGAAGAAAGTCGCGTTGAGTGCAGTGCTTAATGTTCCAGCTGCGCAGAGAAGTGAGCGAGAGGTTTGGAGTCTGGGTGCAGCGCCTCCTCGTCGTCGTCCTGCACCTTTGGCACCGCAGCAGCATGTCCTTCGTCCATGGTCGAAAGGAGGCGTTCAAGTGGATTAAACGCCGACTGACCAGAAGACGCAGTCAGGTGAGTACACCGGAAGAAATGAAAGGGCACTCGTCAACTCCAAATTATAGACTCTATCAAAAGAATAACAATAAAACTGGCATTTATTTACGGCTTATTTTCAATTTAATTCAAATTTAAATTGCTGTTCTAGTTAAAATTTGAAATTCTAGTAGTGAAAACGAAAATAACAACACTAAGTTTTTACTTTTAGCGATGACCAAAAATTAAGCACTCTCTTAAAATGAGATCACTGGTTAATAAACAATGCGATTTAGTAATGTCAATGTATAATATACTTGCCTTTGTATAGAGCTAAGTTTTACCAAAACCTAATTTCATTATATAACAACAAAATCGTTGCTAAAATAGATTTGCAATTACGCCGTTTGTTTTTATTATTTTTACTGATAGCTGTTTCAAAACTGCAAACAATTTTCACAATATTAGGTTGTCTTTTTTTGTTTACCGCGAGGCTTTCAGTAACAAAAACAAAAATTTGCAAAATCCATTAAAAATATATATTACTAACTGGGTGCATAATTAGACTATTTTCATTAGTAACTGACAAAATCTCATGTCATCTATATAAGCATTAAATCGTAAGTGTCGTGACTTACCAGCTTTTTTGTCATTACTTTAAAATTTAACACCTTTTGAAAGCAAAAAAATCAACTATTGCTTTTACTGTAATTACCAAACAGTTTTAAGCAACGTTAAAAGGAATTATGCAAACAGAGCCCCATAATGAAAACTAATACAATAAAATACAATTGCAGATATTTGTAAAGATTAGATTATTATTTTAAGTGCAACTGGACAGTTGCTTAATAAGGGTAATATTTGGTGCATGTGCGGCTCATCCTTTGCTAGATCCCAAGTGGGTCATCACCCCACCTCAGAACCCTTAGATTTTAGCTGGAATTCAATTAAAAGTTATTCAGACCGACTGCAAATTCAATTAAATACAATCATTTCGGGCTTTCGGTGCAATTTTAAGCTAATTCTGGTTTTCCTGTGAATCGGGGCACAGCCGGCTGAAGAAGGGTTAGAAAAGTTTCGCACTCGCGTGACTCGCTATAATTTCTCCATCAGAGTTCGGAGTGGTCTGAGGTCGCGGTGCCCACTGTCTGAGGCTTTGTTCCGTTTCCGCTTTCTGCCGGTTTTTTTTCCCCGGGTGGGTGTGTCCATCGACCTGCCGGAGACATAGGCTTGGTTCCACTATACACACCAGCACATCATCCCTTGGCACCCAAAACACCCCAAGTACTCCACCTCGAAAAACAGTTGGCGTTGAGCGATTATGGCTGTCAGGCTGAAAGGCACTTCCAGCCTGTTATCAATTCAAACAAACGCCAAAATGCCACAAATGTGAAAAGCAACCAACCGACGAGGAGCCGTTAAGAGGCCCCCAAATTGTGCAAATCAAATTGAATGCCGTTTTATGAAAGTTGACTTTGCCGCTGATTTTTGGCAATTATTTGTAGTTGGCATTTGTGCGATTTCGAAATTTTCGTGTCTGTAACAATGCGGATCTCAAACGGAGCACGTAGGGGTTAGGTTGAACGCCCCTGGCATATTAAAAAGTTTTCTAATATTTAGGCAGCAACTGATATGAGCGAAAAGACTGCAAAATAGGTGTTTTATGTTTATGACATTAGCGGGAAAATTGGTTTTACTTATTGGGGGGGCAGGCCCTTTATAAAATTACTTTTCAAATTCGTATACAAACTTGTAGATTTCCAAATAGTTGTTTTTAAAACGTTGGAAAGTTATGTCATAAATAATGTATTCATGAATGAATAATTTATAATAGTTTACAGATTATCAGGCTGTTCGCAAAGGGCACATGATTTTATGTTTCTAGTAACAATACTAGTCATTAAACCGGAATCAAATCACGACACAATGATTCACATTTAGCCCCGCATTAAGCTTTCAAATTAATTGTTGATAATTGACTGCGGAAATATTGATACCATTGCTCACAACCCAATTCGCGATGAAACATTAGACTAATGCTCGTTCGCATTTCAACTGGAAATGTGGCAGGCCCACCGCGAAGAGCACTCAATACTTATATTTATGGACCTCGGTGCGGCCCATATTGTTTATCCCGCCGACAAATGTTTATTCTCACCACTCGAAGTTTCAGCGACTGCCCAGATTTGTGAAACTGAAGCGGAGTAAACAGTCATCGCGTGTTCCGATTAACGAAATCGCATGGCGATCTCGAGGAGCCAGGAACCAAAGGAACCCCAGCTCGTTAGTGTTTTCA